AGAGGGTTGCGTGTCTTTGAATGGGGACATCAGAAGCCACTTGGCTTAGTAAGGTTGTCCGCGGGCCAAGGAGAAGCCATTGGTTTACACGTACATTTCCTCAGGATGGGAATGAATCAAGATAATTATATTTTTAAATTGTGCTTTCAAGGTAATTCATGAGCCATGTTCCTATTTCGCATCCTAATTATCTTTTTTATCCATTTCTCTTTTCCTTTATGACTTTCCCTTACACACAGATTAAAATATTATGTGTATCCCAAAGTTTAGGAGCTTACAGTTTTGGGGGTTTTTTTACCCTGATGTTTCTTTCTTGTAATGAAACCAGTGGCTTAGCAATTGCATAGACATAAAACTCCTTTTATATGCCTGTAAAAAGATTACAGGGCACAAGACATGGGAGAACATTTTAATAGATTCTTTCAGTGACTTTTATAGACTTTCAAGATTTGTTAGAAAAATGATTCATCATAGGCGTGCCTATATTTATATGTCATGCTTAAGGTACTCGCCACCCCCCCCCAACTTATTTTTATAAAAATAGCAGATACAGGCGTTCATGCAGTCACACACCCAGCTGCCCACCTGTCCATAAAATTTACAACGAAGTGCACAAATCTTAAATGTTTTCATTCCATCAGCTTTCTAAAAAATATATTTTTTAATGTTTTTCTTTTTAATTTTTATTGATTTTAGAGGAAGGGAGAGGGAGAGAGAAAAAAAAAATAAATATCAAAAAGCTGCTTCCTACAAGCTCATCCACTGGGAATCAAGCCTGCAACCCAGGCATGGCCCTAACCGGGAATGGAACCAGCCACCTTTTGGTGCACTTGGCGCCACCCAACCCGTTGAGCCACAGCAGCCAGGGTCCTTCCATGAGTTTTCATAAGTGTGCACATCTGTGTAAGTCAAGCCTTCATCAGGATACCTCCATCACTCCAGAAAGTTCTAGTTCTCCCCAGTTCCCTGCCCTTAACATTAAAAATTGTTTTTCATCATAGATTGGCTTGACTTGTAAAATTGCATATAATTATACAGAATATGCTGTTTTGTGTCACGCCTGTTGTGTGTGGTGGTGGCATCTTTTGTCACTGAGTAGCATTTCATGTGTTTACCTTTGTTTTTGGACGGACATCTAACAGTATCCTGGTTGCTCCAAGTCTGGGCGATTGCAAAGATGCTGTAGACATTCCTGTGTAGGCTTTTGTGTGGACACATGTCTTCAGCTCTTTTGGGTCTATACTGAGGAGAGGGTTGTGGGAGCCTATGGTCAGAATATGCTTAAGAGAGGCCTGGTCTTATTCTGCTGACAAAGCGGACTCCAGCCGCGTGGAGAGCACGGCGTGAGGGCAGGTGTGGCTCGGTCAGGCCATGTTGTGCAAACACAATCTTACTGCATAAGGTGGGTGGCCCTGTGGCTAGCAGCATGGAGCCTGGTGCCAGACTGCCCGGCTTCAAACTCCTGACTCATGGCGCCTTAGCTGTGCCTCCCCAGCAAGTCGCCCCATCACCCTCTGCCTTTGCTTCCCTTTCCCTGAGAGCAGATACTCATGGCAGACCGGCCTTCGGGAGACGCAGGGGGTGAGTGCAATTGATAGTCTACCTCCAGCCCTCTCTCAGCACCATTAACACCAACGGGTGCTGGGACCAGTGTGCTAGCTCCCATCTTAAAGAAACAGTAACCTGGAACAGAAGCTGGACAAGATCCCAGAGCCAGGGGGCTCCTCCAAGAGCCAGCTGCTGTGTGGGATCCCGCTGACTGTGCCCTGACAGGTGCCCAGCTCTAGGAGGCAGCGGGCAGAGCTGTTCTTCCCAGGAGAGTGACGTGTGTGGAGTCTCCACTTCCTCCCTCCACCCCCGCTGCCCCAGCAGCCCCCTCCGTGTCTGGGCTCCAGCTGACATTTGCAGAACTTCAGCGTGGAGGTCCCTGTAGAACATCAGCACCTGTGGCTCTGCGGAGCCCGTACAAAGGGTGCATCTGGGAGGGAGGGCGCTGTCCTGGGGAAGACCAGGGCCTCAGGGTCTGAAGCCACCTTGATCTCAGGCTGCATCAAGCCCTGGGAACGCCCTATCACCCTGGGGGCCTCTCCCATCCTGGGGGTGCACCCTCCCACCCATCCTGTGTGCAGTGTAATGACTGAAGCTTTGTGAAGCTGGGAGCTCCCTCTGCAGGGCTCTGAGGCTGCAAGGGCTCCTGGGAATGCTTCCTAGTTAACTGAACAAAGCAGCCAGCCCGGAGCACAGCCCCCACCAAGTCCTGCGCCCCCATTGTTTGTTTCCTCTGTGCGCACGCCCACCCTCAGGCTGGGGCCTGCAGGCCTCCTTCATGGCCGGCTCCAGCTGAGACCATTAGGTTCCGAGGTGAGAAGCTCACACGATAACGGCATGTTGATGTGAGTTCTAAGGAAGCCACACGGATCGGAGAGTGCGCACGCGGCCCACCAGGCCAGGCGCCACCTTTGCCAGGCGGTTCCACCAGGAAAGCCGTGGTTGGAACCGGGATTCTGGAGACCCTGACTCACACCAGGACGAGGAGGGGGAGTCTAGTCTCTGGGTACCGAGGAGCCCCTCTCCTGACCTGCCATGGGCTGCGCCAGAGGCGAATGCTCTAACCTGCGGTGGCCAAGGCGAGTCCTCGGAGCACACGGTCCAGGGCTGCTGACAGCGTAGAGAGCAGAGGAGGCCCCGGTCCGACGTGGGACAGAAGGTGAGTGGACAGTCTCTCAGCAGAACTCCCCGGGGCTTTCCAGGAAGCAGGGCCTCGGGCAGTGCCTCCCCTCTGATTAGCCCTGGAGTTTCTCTCCAAGCCCCACCCAGCCCAAGTGGCCTTCCTGCGTCAGGTACCCGCCCTGCAGGCTGGGGGAGCCTGCGATCCCTCTCAGTGACAGTGTAATTACAAAAATAAAACAGGATTACGAAGAAAACCTGTCGTGGTGAAAGCAAATATCCCCCTGGTGCAAGGAGTTTGAAATATGTAATCCCGGGCACATGTTCATACGTGTGCCTCGTCTGTGCAGGCTCTAATACCGACAGTACCGATGGCCACAAACGGTATTTCAAGACACAGCAATCCTCACTATTGGCGAGTTCTGGGTGGGGTCTACCTCCAGCCCTCTCTCAGCACCGTCAGCTCAGGTGGTGCTGGGACACAGGTGTGCTCGCTCCCACCTTAAAGAGACAGTAACCTGGAACAGAAGCTGGACAAGATCCCAGAGCCAGGGGCTTCCGTATCAGCACCGCTGGCCCCCCTGTCATCTGGGCGGTAACAATGTTCTGTCCCCTTAACCACGGGCCCCCAGCTGAGGGGGAAGAAGGCAAAGCTCTGCCTTTCAGAAACGAGTGTCCTTTTCACGGCAGATTCATTGCCACGTTGTGGGCACTTCTTTGCTTTTTGTTGATGTCACTGGGCAGGTGCCACCCAGGGCAACGCCAAAGGGCCGCCCGAGTCTTGCGTGCAGGTGGCGGTGGGCGCCTCAAGGGGAAGGCAGGGGAGCGGATAGGGTTCTCTCACGTGGGTCTCCAGCTGCTGGTCCTGAGTTCAGTGTTCGTCAATCAACTATGCACTGAACAAGGTATCTCCAAGGTTGTGCATTGACCACCTGATGACCTTGCTGTGGCCTGAGGCTGGCGAAATGTCACCTGTGTTTCTAGGGCAGCCCTGGGAGCAGAGGTCAGGGCTTGCTAATTGAGTGTTCAGGCGACTCTGTAGGTAATGACCGCCCTGAATAGTAAGAACCGATTGTATACGGGACAAACGCAAAGAGGAGCAAAACAGAAATGACAAAAAAAAAAAAAAAAAAAAAAAAAGTGTTTGCCTGGAGGGCAGGAAATTGGGGAGGACTGGAAGAACTTTCTGGAGTGATGCAGCTATCCTGACAAAGGCAGTGAAAAATGCCACTGTGTTTTGTGTCCTACATCCTAACCAAGAGGGGTCAGAGCCCTGGCACACTGAGACCTGGGTAAGTTGCCCAATATGCTGGAATAATTATTTGTTTTTTTTTAATCACAATTAGCCATTCAAGGGCACAGATGCTCTCTTGCTAGGAACAGCACCCAAAGCTCTTTTTCTTTTTAATTAAAAAATTTGTTTTTATTGATTTTAGAGAGCAAGGAAGAGAGAGGGATAGAGAAACATCTGTGAAAGGAAACATCCATCAGATGCACCTGCACACCCCCTTCTGGGGATGGAGCCTGAAACCCAGGCCTGTGCCCTGACCGGGAATCAAACTGGTGACATCTTGGTTCATGGGCCACATTGGCTGGGCCCAAAGCTCTTTATTAAAGACCAGAGGTTCGGTGCATGAAATTCGTGTACTGTATGTGTGTGGGGGGTGTCCTTCAGCCCAGCCTGCACCGTCTCCAATCTGGGACCCCTCAGGGGATGTCTGATTGGGCCTAAACCGGCAGTCGGACATCCCTCTCACAATCTGGGACTACTGGCTCCCAACCACTCACCTGCCTGCCTGTTTGTCTGACTGATTGCCCCTAACCACTCCCCTGCCAGCCTGATCAATGCCTAACTGCTCCCCTGCCAGCCCAATTGCCCCCAGCTGCCCTCCCCTGCAGGCCTAGTTGTCCCCACCTGTCCTCCCCTGATGGCTTGGTCACCCCTAACTGCCTTCCCTCCCCTGCAGGCATGGTCACCTCCACCTGCCCTCCCCTGATGGCTTGGTTGCCCCTTACTGCCCTCCCCACAGGCCAGCTTGTGGCAGCCATCTTGTGACCATATAGGGGCACTCATCTTGTGAAAGGGTGTGATAGTCAATTTGCATATCACCTCTTTATTATATAGGATTGTATGAGGAGCAGTGGTCAGGAAACTGAACCCAGAAGCTCAGAGAGTCACACTGTCATTCAGATGTGCTCCTAGAGGAGAGAAAAGCACTGCAGAGGGGCTGTTAGGGAGAGGCCTGTGAGCCTGTGACATAGCAGCCCTGGAACTACGCGCTGGATGAGTTTACCCAAGTTTCCGTTTCTGGGAGCCCATGTCCCCGGAGGACTCAGTGTCCCCCTTGGTCTCCAAACACCTGTTCAATCTGGGTGTTGAAGGGATTCTCCTTCCCCAGGACCTGGGGCCATTGCAGCCGCAACTTGTCCCACAAGCCATCTGCCAGCAGCAGTGACGCTACCTGTGAGGAGGAGCAAAATAGAAATGACAACTCAGTAAAGACTTCACCAGCAAGACCCCCTCTCTTCTTCATGTGGGGACACACTCTGGATGGTCCATGATTCCTACCATCATTTTTTGCTTTGTACGATCCCTTCCCTGGTGAGGGTGGGACCTATTGCTTGGTTCTCACCAGCAGAACATGGCGAAGGTGAAAGGTCACTTCAGTGAGGACGGAACATTATGTAAAACCACTCTGCCACCGGGGACCCTCCTTGTGGCCCTGGTGAAGCAGGAAGCCAGGTGGCAGGGGGTGAAGGGTGCCTCCTGCTGACATCCAGCTGGAGCTGGTCCTCAGTCCTACCTCACAGGGGAATGGATTCTGTCCACAACTTATGTGAATCTGAAAACAGCTCTGCCCCGGTTGGGTCTCTGGATGAGCACGCAGCCCAGGTGACACATCTGGACTTTAGCCTGTGATACCTGAAGCAGATAACCCTGTTCAGTGCCAGGCACTCCTCACTCAGTGACTGTGAGATAAGAGATGAATATTGTTTCACTGTAGTTGTGCTGATTTGTGATTGAGTAATAGATAACAAACACACTTCCTCAGAAAGCCATTTGTCTATTTCAGGTAACACTTACTGCGGGCCTAGAGCTTGGGTTTCAGAGATGAGCCCATCGGATCCTTTCCTTAAAGAGCTCCCATACTGGTGAGAAAACCCAATGTGCAAAAGGGCACCAGTAAAGCCACAGGGAGGGCTGCACTGGATTCCCTCGCCTGGAAGGGGAAGAGGTGCAGACTCACACTCCTGAGGGGATGGCCGGCTTTCCCCATGGCCTGGATGATCATCCAGGCCAAGGCCACAGGAGAGGATACCAAAAGCTCTTCTCAGCTTGGCCCTGGTCATTGCCACCCCATCCTCACTAAGGCTGAATCAGAAAGACTAGGCCTTAGATGGGTGGAGAACTCCCATCTTTCAAAATTTTGAAAATGGCAGACAACTTCCCTACTAGGCCCCTCTCTGCACTGACCCTGGGAAGCACAGAGCAAGGTAAAAGGTCTCTCTGAGAACTTCCCCACACACGTTACATGAGTGCGAACTGTAGACATAAAGTCAAAGGCCGGGTACCATTTCCACCTTGTTTTCCTCTTCCTCTGATTTTCCCTGTACTTTTATTGATTCTTTATCCAACCCATGTGTGGAATGCATAATTACATTAAAAAGTAACCTAACAGATAGTTGCCAACAACCATGGTATGACAGCTCACCTCATTGGGGTGGAATCCATCCACAGGTTCAAGGAGCTGCCAGGGCTGCCCGCCTCTCTTCTGCCACTTCTTCACGACTGCAGGGCACACAGGCAGCCAGAGGGTTAGAGCAGGGACCGTCGCCAGAGCTGCCCGCTGCCTCCCGAGCCAGACTCACCCATCTGGACTGCCCATGAGACGTTATCTCTTGTTGGGGGCAGGGTGTGTGTGTGTGTGGTTTTCTGAACAGAGATGATCTCCCCACTGTGTGATTGTTGTTTTCCTATCTCAGAAGGAACACATGTGCCAGTGGAGGAGGTTGTGTGGTGGGGCCAGGTGAGCTCTGGAATATTCGGCACCCATTCCAATCCATCTCATTTCCCAGCGGCCAGTGGGGCAGTATCACAGAGGCAGGAGAAGGAGCATATGTGTGCTAACATCACCTTTCACAGCTGCCATTTCCACACCTGCCTGCCTGTGGCAACCTGTCATCGTCAAAGATCCTACAGGGCGTCAGAAATATGATTATGTCCAACATGTCGATTATCTCAGCATCACAACCCGAGTGATGGAAAGCAATACCGCTGTCCTTCACTGGGGTGACAGGCCCGGAGTGTCTGCTGCTCGAGGCAACAGTATGTGAACCTACACCGTAGTAGCACAGTCTGTGAGAGTGCCTGAGGGAAACACATCCTTCGAGAGCCTCTTGGGAGAAAAGCCTGGAACCTGCTGCCCCAGAGTGGCCCACGTGCTCACTCTCCGACGTCCAGAGAGGGGCGCAGGCATGGCTAAGGTTCCTCCAGTTCTTCCCTCATTGGCCCGCAGAAAACTCAAAGGCAGGGATCTGTGCCCTCTTTGTTTCTCCCTTTTTAAAAAATGTGTTTTATTGATATTTAGAGAGAGAAAAAAACATCAATAATGGGAATCATTGATCGGCTGCCTCCTGCACACCCCCTACTGGGGATTTAGCCTGCAACCTGGACATGTGCCCTGACCGGGAATTGAACTGTGACCTCCTGGTTCATAGGTCAACACTCAACCACTGAGCCTGGCCAGGCCCTCTTTGTTCTTCATGAACGATCGTGAGTGATCTCTCGGGATTTGTCACATGATGAATTTTCTTTACCTGGGAAGCCAGAGGGACTCTTCAGGCTAATGACCTGCTTTTCTGAATGGCCACAGATGTCCTGGGAGGAGATTCATAGAACACATGTGGCTCTTTAATGGCCAAAAACGCTCTCAGATATTTAAAAAGAGAAACCCACAAGCTGGTCCGCACCATGAGGTCATGGGTTGTTTTTGTAGGTGCATGGCAGGATCTGAGGCACGGTGTGCTCCCAAGCGTTGCCATGGAAGCAGAGGGTAGTGGGTGGTGTATTCCAGCAGTCAGTGTGGAAATGGCCTTGCCAGCCCAGTGGCACTTTCCCTCCTCTGTGTGGAGGTGTGGCGCAGACCGGGATAAGGCCCTTGCCCGCTCAGCTGCCCTTTCCCACGGGGGAAATCGCTGCCTCTGTATAGCTCATGGCCAGGTCAGGGGGGTGGGTCAGCAGGAGCAGAGAGCGTCTGGAGACAAGCACCCATCTTTCAGGGCCGGGGGGGGGGGTGCCCACCCTCAGGAGGCAGGCCCTCAAGTGCGCTTTGCTCTGTCGCAGGTGTGGAACGGTGAGTTTCATATTTAAAAAGAGGATATGACGATGCCACAGGTCAAGTGCAGCACAGAAAGGAAAGATGTTCTTGGGACCTTGCAGACTGCAGGTTTGATAAGTGGGTCTTCATGTCTCGTGAAAGGAGACCACAGTGACAGGTGCATTTCCACCATGGCTTCCTCTAAGGGACCAGCGTGGCCCATGTGTATCAGTGATGGAGCGCAGCTGGACATTGAAAGAGAATACATATTTGTTGTCCAGGCCTCATGAGCCCTGGGAGATAGCGACAGGGGCTTCACATGCACAGGTAACCGGGGTGGTGGGAGGGGATGTCCCTATTTCATTGCTGAGTCCCTAATCTGTTGCAAGGTGCCCCCATCCATACCTGGGTCCCGTTTGCCCTTATTGCCACGTCGCTCAAAAGGAGACAAAAGCTGTGTGGATATTTCATGTGCCCGAGGTTGAAGCTCCTCTGGTCCGAGTCGGGACAGGCACACGGTTCTGTCCGGTGTAAATGCTGCCCTTTTCCTGGAGGGCACATGCACCCCCACAAGGTGGACCAGATGGCCAGGCTGTGAGCCGCCCAGGTGGGTAGTTCCCCACAGAGACGGGTCTAGGAATAGACGGTCCCTCTACCTGTTCTGGAAAATGCTAAGCTTTCAAGGTCAAAATTCCCTTTGCAGTAGTGGAACCTGGGGCATAAGTCAAGTTCTTACTGTGGTTCCTGGAAACTAGAAAAACCTCCAGCTCTTCCAGGCAGACACCGGGCGCCTGGATGTGCAATGCAGGTGCTGCATCAGCTGCATCAGTCCCGGCACCTGACCCTCTCCCTCCACTTCCCTCCCACTGCGTCCGTCTGTCCTCCCCAGTGCAGTGCGCGTGGACTTCATGTGGGGAAGGCGAGGAAGGCCCTATGCCCGATGGGATCTTCCTATTTGCTTTTGAGGAAATTACAAAACCTCAGGAAGGCCCTCGAACTGTCCATGAGGATGGCTAAGCCCGAGAGACACAGGGAAGTTTCTCGGTGAAGTGCCGACAGCCATGTGGTTTAGAACGTTCAGTTCGGGATAAGAGAACTTTTTTTTTTTTTTTTTTGCTTTGTTACTGCATTTATTGCTGTTCTGAGGACAAGAATGGGCTGATGACCTCTCCTGACAAGCATCAAGGTCATCAATGCAATGCTGGTCTGGACTAGACCCTTCATGAAGATTTGTTGAGGGCTCTTTCCCCAGCACCTACACAGCACATGGCAGGATATAGCAAAAACCTGATGCCCCACTGACAAACAATCTTAATATGGCAGCATTACAGAGCCTCATTTATTAAATTTTAACATGCACGGGATTGTTTGTAGACTGTGCTAAAATGCAGGCTCCTAGGCCCCAATGAGGAGTGTGGCCGGGGTTCTGCATTTATAAGTAGCCCTAGACCACATGCTGGGTAGCAAGGTGTGATGGAAAGAAATGACACTCTTTCCTGGGGACCAGCAGTGTCCCGGGCCCTGCTTTGAGAAGATCACACATTCCTGTAACCATGGCAGAGATGTGTCCCGCAGATATGGCCGCCCCCTTGTCGAGTCTGGGCCAGAGCGCTCAGAATTGTGCAGGGAACTGCCTGTAGCCCCAAAGGTAATGAAGCACAGAGTGGAGGCTTCCTCGGAAAGTGAGGACATACCCTGTGCATGTTAGACATGATTCTATTTTTAATAACTTCCTCTAGGTTCAAGGTTGATGATGATCAGAGAGCACGTGGCGGTATATTTGTTTACAGCAGGAATTCATTAATGAGTCATTAGCTCTGCATTTTAATGCGAGGCTATCCATCAAAATGCCTCTCCCCATGAGGGAAACAGGCATCACCTAGGCAGGAAATCTAGTTAAGGGTCATCAGTCTTGTTGGGAAGATGCTCAGAGTTGAAGTGCTAGACTCCACAATGCCGCCCGTGTCAGCTAATGTGATGTGCGATGATTCACGAGGGCCATCTGCTTCCCCTGGCTGCTCGGGCTGAGGGGGGTGGCAGGGAGGCAGAGATGATGACCTCCGGAGGAGGAATGGCCCATCCTGTGCACACATGGCAAAGCTTTCCATTAGCGCCACCCAAAGGTCAGTCCATCCATGGAGGTGTGTTTCTTCTACAACAATTGCTTGGCAATAAACATGAGGCTGGAGGATTAAAGCCAGTCAACCATCATTTTTTTAAAGCCAGACCGGCATGGCTCAGTGATTGAGTGTTGACCTATTTACCAGGAGGTCATGGGTTCAATTTCTGGTCAGGGTGCATGCCTGGTTTGCAGGCTTGGTCCCTAGTGGGGCGTGTGCAGGAGGCTACTGATCAATGATTCTCTCTCATCATTGATGTTTCCCTTTCTCTCTCCCTCTCCCTTCCTCTCTGAAATCAATAAAAATATGCTTAAAAATAATAATTTTTCAGAGTCAAGGTGTGAAGGAACATGCCTATTGCCATGGCCACGCCTCAGGGGCCCCTGTGTCTGGACAGAATGGCAGCAGAGACATACCAATGTCCTTTCCAGGAAGCTGAGACCCGGGCTGTCCATCTTGCCACAGGCAAACCTGAGGTCATTCCCATAGAAACTCGGATTCATTTATTTCTGTGCGGGGTCTGGGAATCTGCATTGTGGCCAAGTAGGCAAATCAGTGCCCACGGTGGGAGGCACCGCCTTAGCCCCTTTCCCGTCACACTCGTCTGTAGCCCATTGGCAAGCAGATGCTGCCATACTGGCCAGAACAAAGGTGATCCCATGGAACATTGGCCCCCTGCCTAAGCATTCTCCACCTGGTTGCTGGCTGTGTTTGAGGGTTTCTAAGATGACAGTGAAATCAGACGTGAGAGTCCCCTTCCATACTCCACCTTATTTCAGTGCGGGAGCTCTTACTATGTGAGAGTGCCAGGGGAGACCCCGTCCAATCTGCTGCCTGTGGGTTCCAGCTGCCGGGGCCGGCTCTCCCTGGCTGCTGCTCTTGTCTGTGTCATGACCAAAGCCCAGCAACACTCACTTTCTTGGAAGTCAAAATCCACGTAGTACAGATGGAAGCTGGTGAATTTCTGGCTGGTGGCAATCTTCTTCAGTGTCCTGGAGAGTTGTGCTGCTCTCTGAATGCAAGGGAAATGGGGAGAATTCCATGAAACTGAGGCCTTGACTGGAGTGAGCGGGTGATTCAGTCAGAACGAAGAAATGAATGGTCTCCACCCTCCCTCCCTCCTCCTCCTCCCTCCCTGATCAGCCGTCCTCTCAGAGGCACTCAGAGCAGCTCTTCACTCAGAGCAGATTCAGAGGCACTCAGAACATGAGAGGCACTCATGAATTCTCTTCCTGCACACATGGCCAACACGCATGCAAACGGTTAAGCTTCATTAGGTACCAAATGGGCGCAAATGAAAGCAATAAGATACCACTCTCCCCCTGGGATCGGCCAGGAAAAGATGAACAGTCATGACAATGGAGACTAGCGCCCGGGGATCGGAGACCCAGAAGGCCAATCTATTTGACCTTTCTAAGAGTAGCTCAGCAAGATGGGTCACCTCCTCAAACACAGCTCACTCTTAGACCCAGGCATTTTTCTAGAAATGTGTCTTAACAGACATGGCGTGCGCGCACGCACACACACACACACACACACACACACACACACACACGTCCATCCCAATGCTGTTTGTCACAGAGAACAATTGGAAACCCCTATGACCTGTATGTCCAGCTCCAAGGGGTGAGATAAATCACGGCACGTTCCTGTGTCATACACTCTAACACAATCACAAGGACAGGGTGGGAGGGATAGTGGATGAGGTCAGACGGCACAGAACAACATGTGCTTTCTGACACCGTGTAGGCACAACCTATGGAAGCAATACTGGGAAGACATGCACACGCACTGACTTCAGGTGGTGAGATTGGGGTGAACTTTGTTACTTTTGTTGGTGAGTTTCTTAGCATTCTCCAAGGTTTTTAAAAACGGAAGTATATTTGTACAAGGAATTCAATGAGTCTCTTACAAAGAGAAAGCTAACCCTGGCCCTGACCCTGACCCTGACCCTGACCCTAATCCTAATCCTAATCTTAACCTGTGGGAGAGCTGCATGGGCCCCAGGCTCCTATAGAGGAGAGTAAGGCTCTGAGGTGTCGGTCCTTCCTGAACTTGGGGGGGACTCAGACCAGGCTTCACCTCGCTCACTTCTCTCCACTTCTACAAACACCTACAACGGGCTCTCAAAGGTGTGTGTGTGTGTGTGTGTGTGTATCTGGGTATGTACATAGGAGACAGACACACACACATACAGTGACTGACAGACACTGTAAGAGTGATAGATCCAGAGGAGGTGAAAGGGGAGAGGCAGGGCACCCCACATTCCCTGGCCCTGATAAGCCACCAGAGGTTCGATGTTTCTGTTCACCAGTCTGAGGGCCAGCACGCTGCCCAAACCCCATTCCTGGTGCAAACATTGCAGCGAATGCAGGGCAAGAATGAGCCAACACGCCACCGCGGGGCTGCGCCAGTCCTACCTGTGAGGTGAGTGTCCGGAGGGTCTCGTTGGCTGTCATCCAGCCGTGGCAGGGGCTGACCTAGGGGGGGGGAGGACTCTGTGATTACCGGGACACAAAGGCAGTGAGGGGCAGGGCCTCGGGACAGGCAGGCCAGCTCACCTGAAGGCAGCTCAGGAAGGCGTACAACTGCCCGTAGGTCACGTCCCTGTTCAGCTGGCCTGGAAGACAGCGAGGCTGGGATGTGGAAGCCAACGGGTCACGTAGGGTGGCCCTGTCTCCCTGCAGAAGGCTGGCACATGCCCAGGGACCTGCCCTCTCATCCAGCTGGCATGGCTCTTGAGGAACGCCCATGCTTCCTTTCTTTCTGGACCCCCTACACGTTCAGAGCTGGAATGGGAGGGAGCGGGAGGCTAAGAGTTTGCTTCCTCCATGAGCAGCTGGCACAGCCAGGGAGCCTGGCCGCATCTGGCCGCAGGTGGAGGGACACAGGGCACCCGAGGGACCATTGCATCGCCAACAATGGACTTGGTCCCGCACAGCTTTCTCCTGGCAACGAAGTGCCAAGTCCCCAGGGGGCATGGGAGCTCTTGGGGGCAGTTGACAAATCCTCCTGAGCCAGTTTATGAAATCCCAGGTCTGACCAGTGACCCTGGTGAAGGCGGCAGGGCAGGGCAAGTGTCTGAAGGCTGCCACACACCGCCTGCGGCCACAGAAGGGGGAGGCCAGCCCCCCCACATCCCTGAATGGCTCAGGGCACTTATTTTAGCCCCAAAGAGCAGATATGCCCCACACGTATTTTTTGGTGCAAGTTAGAGAGGCACCATGAGTGAAGATGACAGGCGCATGTAAAGGTCACCTCTAAAGGTCAGCTGCAGGGGCAGAATCTGTGGAGGCTGTTTCTTCTCCCATGTCTCCCCTCCCTCCTACAGCATAACCGCCCCCAAGGCACCTCCACTTCCAAGCTGTGGCTCAGACACGGAACCCAGGCTCCCCTGCTCTCAGGGGCAATGGCTGGTGTCTTACTCACTAGCACTCTCTCACGCTCCACAAAGTAAAGGAAAATAACAGGCCCTATCTCTGAGCGGAGAGAGAGATCGAAGGTGATGGAACAGTCTTATTTCTCACTTACACCTCCCATCAGTTAGGCTGAGCGATAGATTCAATTTTCTTGTCGGAGAGGAGGAATGTTATCTCTGTGTGCCCAAGACAGACTCCGAGTATGGAATCTGGAACTAGCCAGGCTACGGAATTCCATCTGGCCACCAGGGGGCACTCACCACAGAGATTCGGAGAAATCCTTCCTTGGACTCAAGGCTTTCTGTCTCTTGTTTGGCTTCATCAGCTCATTTTTAGATCTCACCTTCAGTGAAAGGAGTTTTCTGCCTGAAACTCTTACCGTTCGATTGGTCTTAATTCTTCGCCCACTACTTCTGCTCCTTCCGGCTTTGGATCTGGTTCTGCCCACATCTGGGCCCTGACCTTGAGACCCTGCAGCCGGGGGCACTCCCCTGCTGAGCCATGCAATGTGATGGCATTTCAGGATATCCCTACGTGAGGTGAACTATCTGTACTGGAACTGCATGTACACTGAAATTGATAAACAGAAAAAGGGTCTTCAAAACCATACCGAGAGGATGGTATCTGTTGTGCAGATTATCCCAGAGAAAGGTCCCGTCTGGTAAGCCGTACAAGATCACGTGGCTGCCATTTGGCAGGCGGGCGTTCAGGTACTTCAGCGTTTCCATGACCTTGGAATAGAATTGCTCAGGAGTGGTCATTTCTGGGACCGGGTCACTCTTCCTGTTGGTTACAAGGAACAGGAGAGATCTTACCAAATTACAAGCACAGATGCATGCATATTCAAAATGCCCGCCCCTGAAGGCCACCCCCATGAGGCAGTAATTGATGCTATTTTCTGGCTTCCTAATTCCGTGTGGTTGGGTTGATCATGGCACTGATTTGGTATCTGAGTTGTGAGGAGAGACGTATGTCATGTTTGGTGGTGTCAGAAAGCTCCTTTCCTTTGCCATGGGTCTTGGCAATGTTCTAGACAGCAGTGACTTCACCCATCTGAGTCCTGGAACAGAGTCACACGATGATTCTTGATGGACATGTAGTGTGACTGACATGTGAGTGGATATTGCTTTATTCTCCTAAGATTCTAGGGGCTGTTTGTTTTTGCAGCATACCCTCAACTATCTAACTGATACACACAGCCCGTGGAATCAAAGGAGTCCGGGACTGATTATGATTCGCTTGACACTTCAAGGTCCGCAACTTGGTCTCTGAAACTTCCCACCTGCATGGCAGGCAGGGAAACAGAATGACGCTGAGCAATGAAGTCATATCATGTGTCCACAACACCTCTCGCCAGTTGAACTCTCATGACTTTCCCGAATGGCTGCTCTTTCAGGCGACCCCCCTGCCAAAGGACATTCCATTTTGCCTCTCTGCCTTCGTCTTCAAGCAATGCTTGTTCCATCACGGTTACTGGAAAGTTTATATCTTTTCTTATTGCTTCATATCCATTATTGAAAAAAGAAAAAGAAAGTTTTAGAAAGTCCTGTTTGCCACTGGACCCCAGAGCCCGGCACATTGCAGGTGCTTGCTACATACTTCTACAAGTGAATGCGTGAGAGAAAGCAAATAAGGCACTTGTGGCTGGTGGAAAGGGCACAGAACTTCATCAGAGCACATGGCTGGCTCTCAGTGTGGCTGCTCATTGCTCCGTGGAGGATAACCTTTCAGAACCTCAGTTTCCTCATCTATGAAATGGGGACAATCATACTTGCCTGTTAGGGCAACTGTGTGGTGTGGTGATGTAGCCAGTGGTGTGGGTCTGGGCTCATGGAAGGTTTGGGGGTTCTCTGCTGTTTAGTGGGGAGTCCCAGGTGGTTTGTCAAAGGATTGAGACCTGGTTCCCCAGCACGTGGTAGATATTGGGTTCTGGGAGAGTGGTAAACCAGCTTCAGGGCAGGGCAAGGCAGGGTCTGGCACCAGAGCATTCTGGATCCCAGTGTGGCATCTCCTGCCCTGAATTCACTCACAGATGAGGTCTGCACCATCCTCAGTGGGAGAGGTCTAGGCTCTCATGGAGGTGTCCGAGAGCAAACACACTTGAAAGACACTGAACCTTGAAGTTTGGGAAAGCACTCCTGAGGGTGGAGTCTGGCACTGGCCTTAATTAATTAGACAAATCATGTGACCTGGGCTTTATTTTTCTGTTTCCTAAAACAGAGGGTGAGTGGTTACTGGGGAGTTGTTCCAGATCTGGCGTCACATTTTTCTGCTTCTGGCCATGACCTCAGGACAGATGGCATTCACATATGCAGCATATCCTCAAGGGTACACACAGATTTTTTAAAAATATATTTTTAATTAATTTTTACAGAGATGAAGGGAGAGAGATAGAGAGCTAGAAACATTGATGAGAGAGAAGCATTGACCAGCTGCCTCTTGCACACCCCCTACCGGGGATGTGCCCGCAACCAATGTACATGCCCTTGACCGGAATCGAACCTGGGACCTTTCAGTCCACAGACCGACGCTCTACCACTGAGCCAAACCGGTTTCGGCGGTACACACAGATTTTGAGAAATCTTCCAAAATGTCATGGGAGAACAAAGGCAGTCAACATTCTGAAATCATTACTGACATCAGCAGGTGAGCAAAACTGCTTTCTCCTGAGAGTCATGGGCGCATTAGGATTGGCTGGAACTGGGGAAACCCAGAGGCAAAGAATTCTCAAAACCTTCTTAGCACCTGGCTGGTGTTGCTCAGTGGTTTAGCATCAACCTACAAAACAGGGCTTGAACTCAAGTCTGACTAATCCCAACGTCTTGATTTTAAGGATATTCAAATAACCTGAATATTTGTTCAAGAATCACTATCACTGCCCTAGCTAGTTTGGCTCAGTGGTTGAGTGTCAACCTATGAACCTGGAGGTCAGGGTTCGATTCCCAGTCAGGGCACATGCCTGGATTTTGGGCTCCATCCCCAGTGTGAGGTGTGCAGGAGGCAGCTGATCAATGATTCTCTCTCATCATGGATGTTTCTCTTGCTCTCTCCCTCTCTCTTTCTCTTTGGAATCAATAAAAATAAATTAAAAAACAAAACAAAAACTTTCTTTGGTAGTAACTCACCCATTGCAGACGTCGTTTCCAATCATGGCGTATATGACGATGGCCGGGTGGTCCAACAGTGGGTTTCTAGACAAACTGGAAGCTGAATGTCAAACACGCGGAAACCCAGCTCTGTAACTGGTGTCACAGGCTGGGCCTGTGGAAGAGTCTGTGTGACCGCCCTCTGGGTAACTTTACTATTTTCTTCCATTTAGTATCACTATCCCCATTTCCCACTTCCTTCTCTATAAGCTTTAATCTTCTGTTAGGGAAAGACCACATCAATGCATGAAGTTGAGAAGTGAAGTCTCCAGCATTGGCACGCTACCATTTTAGCATCATTCACAGCCTTTGTGGTCAATAAGCACAGATGCATTACCTGGGTTACTTATGTCCAGATTCCCGAGACATCCCGTGGGCCCAAAGTTTCCACTCTGGGCACCTAGGGCCCCGATTCTGAATGTTAAGCCCCAGATGAGCACAACATTGTTTTCTCCTTCATAAACAGGGATATGAAATCCTTTTTGTCTTTTTTTTGCCAGATCTAAACTTGTATGCATTTTTATGATCTGTCTCTAAGGATATATGGAAATGAATACTTCCAATGCTCACTGGCCTAAGAAGAGATAATAATCTCCCAGGGTTTGCAGAGTGACTAGCTGATGCCCAGTGCAAGTGATGATGGGTAACAATAGAGTTCTCATTCAGTTTTCAAGATGAAAAACAACTCCTTCCACGTACCTTTCTAGGAATGTCTCCAGGTTTTGGGAAGATGCGCCTGAATCAGTAAAATTAAGAAAATAGTTAAAGTTAGGGGGCTCAGTTCACCACTGTCAGGATGAGAGTGCCATTGTCTGCGATCACGGGAGAAGCATCACTGAACAGTCAGAGGTCTCCACACAGTAGGGCTGAGGAGTTTCTCTGGGACTCCCCTTAATGGCCATGCGTCCTTGACATTCTATTGACATAAACCCAAATCCTTTGGGTTTACAGGTCTCAAGACATTTCCTAGCGTGAATGAGCGAACTTGCTAGCAGTGTAAGAAAGAGATACATATCTATCACCAGAGAGAGAAACTACCCCAAAGATTCAGGAATGAGCTGAGGGATGAGAAGAACAGTAGGAAGGATTCTTTGAGAACTACCCATCTCTCCAGAGAACCTGAGGCTCCCCCTGCTGGCTTGGATGTGTAGGTTCAGATTGCAGAGCTGACATATTTCAACTCCTGTAATGACATCCATGGCCACCCTCCTCCATTCCTGTTTCTACCTGTGACAGATCTTTTATAGGAAAGTCGTGGTTATTGAATTCTCATATTATCTCAGACACTCTGTTAAGCACTGTACTTATTAGTTCATTTAGGCCATAGCACCACTGTGTGAGGTAGGCATGCGAGGAGCCCCATTTTGTAGATGAGAACACTGAGGCTCACTTTAGCGGCCCAAAGCCACACAGCTATTAATCTGGAGAACCGCAATCCAAACCCTGCCCCTTCTGCCCGCAATGCTGAGCTCAGGCTCCCTGAGTGGCATTGCCTGTCTAGGCTGGGAGGCTAGAAAGAGTGAGCCCAAGGAGGGAGTGTACAGACATGGCCTTTATCCCCGGGCAGAAGCATCTCTGGGTAGACACACAACTGAGAACTGGTGTGAGGTTTAATGCAAATCTCACCCCAGTGTTGAAAAGAGGAAAACCCAGTGTGACTTGAGCCTGTTTCTGCTCAGAGAAGGTGCCACGTTGAGGCCTAAATGTAGAGACTCAGAGAGTTCCGGGTGGGGGTCACTCCCTGATGTCCTCACAAGTGAAGAGACAGAGGGTGGTCATGGCGGGCTGGCATGGCACCCACCATGGCTCCCTCATCTCCTCGGCCGGGCCCACAGTGCCATGATCTCAGCTTCCCATTTTTAGTAAGATCATCAATCAGGAGGTGTTTAATTCTCACTCTGATTTGTGTGTTAATGAGATATGAAAACTAATGAAAGCTCAAGGCATGAGTGGGAAAAATTAAAGGACCAGGTCGGGCCAATAATTTCCTCATTATCTGGAGGATGGCTGGGGATTTGAGGTGCAAATCCCCCATGGAGCTTGAGGCAGGAAATGAAAACCTGCCTTGGCGTGCCTCATGGTCAGCCTCTCCCGTGTCCACACCACCTGTTCCTCTGCCGCTCAGCACAGGAAGGCCGGCCAGGGAGAGGGGAGATGGGTGGTTGGCCTGCCTGCCTGCTGGTCGAACTCCTAGTCAAGGGGACAATTTGCGTATTAGCTTTTTATTATATAGGATATACACTGAATGGCCAGATTATTATGCGTTCAGAGATCATCATCATCTGGCCACTCAGTATATATCTCAACTACATCTTGTTCCTTTCACTGCAGGGAAAGGCCCTAACCCCAGGCCCCTCTATCAGAAAGGGAGACATTCATTTTACCCTGTGGCCCTTGCCACCAATGCTCAGCTGCTGAGGTCCTTGGGAAATAAAATCAGTCACTCAGCACACACAGGTGAAGGCCGAGTGTGGCCACCTACCGTTTTTTGAAATATTCTGGTAGTCCCGGTGATTGCAGTGGTTTCTTTTCCGTATATGAAGGTAGATAGAGTTTTCTTTAATTCTGGAACAAATACATACATGTATGCTTAATGTTGGGACAGTCACATGATGAAACACAAGCACATGTTTTTATTATGATTTCTAAAGTGGGGTGAAAGTGAATTCAGAAAACCACATCTCTATAGTTGTGTTTTTCTCTAAACCGTCACTGCCTAAGTTGTTACAGGAAACAGCCCCATAGACAATTGCATGGATGTGGGAAGATCAAACTTTTTTTCTTATGAGGACCTTTGTAACCCTTTTACCAAAAGCTGCTGTACGTCTCTCGAACAACTGGTGGTCTTTATCGCTTCTGTATTTCAAACTTGACCATGTTTCCGCCCTTCTCTCGGTGGCTATGAAGCTGTGGCAGACACTCTTGTCTTTCAGACCCTTGTCTCCCCTTTGTCCATTTTCACAGACGTTTTCGTAGGACACAGGTCTGCCCGGAATGATGCCCGCTTTCCCAGCTTCCCTTGCAGCTAGGAGTGGTCACTTCACTCAGGTCTGGGCAATGGGATAGAAGTGAATGTTTTTAGCAGCAGTTTCTGGGGATATTTCTTAGGACACAATTGGCAGGTTCTTTTGCTTTCTTTGTCCTGCTTAGCCATTTGGCTGCCAGGAATAGGAACGCTGCCATCTTAGACTGTAGGGGTAAATTCCACCCTGGGAAGGTAAGAATGAGCTGGAAAGATTGTGGATCCCGAGGAGCAGTGAACTTGAGCTCCCATGCTAGACCTGGATTGCAAATCCCTGGACTTTCATGTTTGAGAGAAATAAACTCATGCATTATCTTAGTTAAACCACCCTTTGTTGAGTCTCTGTTACCTATAGCTAAATCTAATACCAATGGACACAGTTTAGAGACAAATGTGTGACAATATCAGGCTATCATTACACCTGTTCTAAATCATTTTCTTGGTTTCTCTTTGTCACATCTTTGATTTTTCCATGTTCTTTTGCCATGCTTTAATTTAATTTAAATGCAATTTAATGTTACATTCTCTATAATGTTATAGGCTTCCTAAACTCCTTCTTAAAACAAGACCAGATAAACTAATGAACAGTAATTAAACTCAGAAGTATCTGATCACCCCTGACACCCACACGGGAGATGTAATGAAAATAAAGGTTGGTATAAGCCACCAACGTTGGAAGCGCCTTGTTATATAATGACAGACAAGCAGGCGGAGGGTTACAGAACTCTAAAGAAAAAGCACTTTCCCTCAGATGCCTGAAGGGACCCCAGGCTGCCTGGCCTCCTGGTGCTGTTGTCAGAGCTTTTCTGCTCCTTGATCCTTTGGGAATCTGGGGCAGCACCTTGCTCCCGGCGTTCTGTAATGTCACGGAGGCAGGCTAGTGTAGCTCTATTGTCATTCACAGTGTGAGACACTTTTAGCCTGGAAATTCATGCCACTCAGAGCTGAGAGTGTTCTTCGATTACTTTGTTGCTGTTTTATTCTTCCTTTTTTTCTTAGAACCCCTCTTATTTGAATATTGAGTCACCCAGATTGGACTCCAATTTTCCTATTTTTTTTTCTGCCCTACCTCCCATATCTTGGTTGTTTTGCTCTACTTTCTGGGTAATAGTCTTAATGTTCTCTTTCCGGGAAAATCATCTCATGCCACTGATATAATTTCCAAGGGCTCTTTTTGATCTTTTGAATGATTCTTTAAATGTAGCACATGTTCTTGTTACTTCATTAAAATACCTCATCTTTTTGAAGATATTAATTTTTAGTTTCTTTTATAAGTAGTATATTAACTAGCGTTTTTTTGTTTTGTTGTTGTTGTTGTTGTTTTTAATCCCTAGTATACAAAGCAATAGTTTGTTTCTTTAAGGTTGTTTTTCTCTTTGTTTGCTGTCTTTCACATTCAAGCTTTCCCTCAGATACCTATGGTCTTGGATTGTTTGTTGGCTTAGATGTAAAAGTGGGAACTGAAAGCTGGCTGGAAACAGGGCCCTGGGTGGGGCTTGCTCCTCTGGTCCTCCCCATCAGCTGGCCGGCCTTTCTCAGGGAGGCCCTGCTGCCCCTGTCTTTGGGGGCTTTCCTCGTGGGCTATGCACGTTCCCCAGGAAAGGACCTTCTTGTCTCTGGCCGGGCTGGGAGGCGTGTGATTTACAGCACACGTGTGCTTTACCAGGGTGTCCCTCTCCCCACTTGTGTCCAGTGTCTCCCAGCCCAGAAGCCCTTTCTCTCAGCCTCTCCAGAGAAGAAACCCCTAGGCTCATCCCAGAGCCAGTGAGGGCTGCTAGCCCCATGCCTCCCCTTCCCTCTCCCCGGGTGGAGTTGGGAAAAAATCTGAGGTTCTAGCTGCAACCTTTCAACCAATACTCCTACTCCCATGTGTAGTCGCACCCTCACTTCTGGCGCTACCATAGGTAGCTGACTCCCACATATTCTGGAGGTCTTGCCATGTAAGCTCGTTGCTTCTTTCCTTTCCCTCCCACCAGCTTAGGATGCCCGTGTCTGCGTGGTTGGAAGCAGGGGCCACTGGCCTGCTTTCTGGCCCCCAACAGGCTGTGGCTGTCGACTCTTCCTGCTCTCTTTATTACCCAGAAGCCTGACCTCTACAAGCTGCATTGTTTATGACCTTTGCCTTGCTTATTTTATTCTATCTTGAAAAAATAAAAAAAAAGAAAGATGGGAAAGGGACATCAGACCCAAATTCAATACTAAAATAATTTCACGGTCAATAAAGAGGGGTTATTTTCCTTTGGGAAAATAATTGTTACCCATATTTATCCATACTTATATTTTTGATAATTCTAAAAACAAAATTTATGGACTGAAATATTGTTATGCTCATGCCCTGATCCTGGAGAGTAAGTAGTGTGGATGTTGAATTATGGATATGGTTAGTTGCACCGTATATTATTACAAGAATATAGAAATCTTTATCATAGGTGAATGAACATTTCTGACCAGAAACAGCATCTAAAATGCTGGGATTAAGGTTTTGTAGGAGGCACTAGAAAGTATTTCATATAATCAAAAATATTGTTTTCTTTCATCTCCACCTCAAGTACATAATCTCTCCTATAAATTCTAGGAATTGGATTTGTCAGGGAGTGCTCTGTAGAAGATAGAGGGATCAATACAATATTTTGAGAAGCTTATAACAATATTTTCAGATACCATACATTGAGAAGCTTGCTTAATTGAACATCACCTGTATCCAGGGCCAGCTGCATGCACTGTAAGGCCTTTCTGGTTTTGAATCCCCCTCCACTTGCTCCCCTATCCTCAGTTGGACTCAGGGTCCCCAGTCTGATTTTTTTTATTTGTTTGTTTGTTCCTCTCCTTTTCCGCTGTTGTGCTTCAAAACTCAGTCCCATGGGCTGGTAGGTGAGGTGATGACTTTAGTCTGAAATCCGAGGGTTGCCGATGAGGAGTATAAAACGTTCTCATCCTCACACCTCTCCTGATGATAAAGGTGCTGGTGGCCTTAGCACAGGGAGTGGAATTGCAAGTACTAGTATATCCGACTAAATCCCCGATTTAAAAAAAAACAACACTAAAAATAAAAATAAAAATAAATCCTCGATTTTATCAGCTCCATCTACTGTGGGGCCCAGGAAGTACAGTCTTTTATATGAGCGCTCGCAGGTCAGATTTTGCTTTTTAAGAATAAAATTCAAAATAGGTGAGTTTCAGACATAGTGTCTACTAGTTGCTTTTCCCATCACAGGCTCAGGTAACACAAAAAACCACTTTCTCTGAGAGACGTCTAATCCCACTCCCCCTCCATTTCACCATGACAGAAAGAAAGACAAAACAAAAAGAATAAACTCAAGGATGAGCCTCAAGAGTAATGTAGACAAAGGAAAGGGGTTGACTTGGAAGGGAAGACATGATCTCCTCCTATGTTGACTCAAAGCAGATCCTACTTAGAGAAAGGCAACTCAGTAGCTTCCCAGAATGCTTAGCCGGTCAGAGGTGTGGGGATATACCAAGTGGGATGTTGTTCAAGCGACAATGATGTACTAGGTCCTGGTGACCTTTCTGAGACCAGGGGCACCGTTAGTTTGGGTTAAATTCTGAGGTGCTATGAAGTAGAATCTTAGGGAACCAGCCAAGAACCAACAGGGGCTCAGAAGGCCAGCAGCAGGGCCAGAGAGAGCGTTCCTTCTCCAGCGAGGGCCATTCTTTCCCATCTTCTCTTCCCGGACCTCTCCCTTTGGGGTCCCCAGTCTCTGCCCTCAGCCACATGTCTTTTTCCCACCCAAGCCCTGAGAACAGAAGTTCTCTGCTTTTGGCTCTCAGTCTGCTTTACACTCTTAAGATGGCTGAGAAACCAGAGAGCTTCTGTTTCTGAGAGTTACAGCTGTCAATATTTATATATTAGAAATTAAAACTTAGAAAACAAAAAGAACATTTCATTTTTAAAAATAATGATATATTACACGTTCATATAAACAATATTTTTTTCCCCTGTAAAAATGTGTTTTCTAATGCATTCCTCCAGTGAGTGAGAAGGTTGGGATCACTTTACCATTTTCAGTTCCTCAATGTCCGTCTGAACACAGCCCACTGGGTGCTCCCCTCTGGACTCCATCTGCTGGGATGGGCTGTTTTGGTGGGAACACAGGAAGGAAACCTGGTCTCACACACACACGTGGTGGGGAGAGGGGATGGCATTTTAATGTCCCTTTTCTGTAACTTTGGGTAAAGCTTCTCGGATATTATACCAAAACTTGAGAAATGGCAGCTCCTTAGAAACCGATTGGCTGTCTTGTGGAACCGGAAATTACATCCGTGAACTCTTGCCGCTGGCTGCATGGAAATGCCTTGGCCTGCCGGTGCTCCGAGTGGGTTTTCTCGTGCAGGATCCTATGCGTCACACACGGGTCATGTAGAGACGCTGGCTCACTGAGTGAGGAGGGCACGCCAGATGCTGATGCATTTATGACATGACGTTAAACCCACCCTAGTCGCCAGCACCACCTGCCTCATTGCAAGGCCTTCGAATCCATGGAAGCTGTCACGACCACGGAAAAGCCAAGTTTTCAAAAATCACATTTTTCTTTGAAAGCTCATATTGCGCTGATTAGCAGTCAATGCTGTTATTTGTTTTCCTTGAAGTGACACGTTCATCTGATTCATTTCGGATAAAATATCTGCTGTATCCAAGATTGGGTAACCATAGTTCGCTTTCCAAGTTTTTTTTCCTTTTTATTTTCGCCAATAAAAAGGGTGTTCCATAGAAAACTTACTGATTCTGCACTCAAGTCAGCATGCAGGTGCTTGATCTTAAGACAACTATCATGTTTTATTTGTAGCAAAAGTGCTTCATGCATCCTTCTCATTTCATGAGATGAGATTTTAATATATATATATATATATATATATATATATATACATACACACACACACACATATATATATACATATACACACATAATCTATTTTATATATATATAATAGATTATGTGTGTGATTATATATATATATATATATATATATATATATATATATATATATATATAATAGATTTTACAGAGGGAGAGAGATAGAAACATCGATGAGAGAGAAACATAGATCAGCTGCCTCCTGCACGCCCCCTACTGGGGATGAAGCCTGCAACTAAGATATATACCTTTTATCAAAATCGAACCTGGGACCCTTTAGTCTGCAGGTGGATGTTCTATTCACTGAGCCAAACTGGCTAGGGCTCATGCGATAAGATTATTAATAAGTCCTGTGCTTACTTTAACAGAATTAGTGACTTATTTCTGTTTCTTAGGCAATGTTTTGAAGGGAGGATCTTCCCCTCTATTAAGCCAGTGCGTGCAGATGGAGACCACAGGACTCCGAATGCAGTTGGGTGCTACTGCTCTGACTCATGCTCAGAGGGCAGCGGTTTTGCCCACCATTGCTTTTGCACCTTTGATACAGATGGCTGTGCAGTGCAAAAGGCAAATACTGTCTTAATATTGTTGTGAGAATAGTTTCCACCTTGTGGACCCCCTGAGACACACCCAGGGGTCCCTGGACCATACTTGGAGAATCATTGATGCAGACTCTATCCTCTCCAATCAGCCTCACCCATCTGCAAAAGGCCAATGCTAATTATTTGTTTGGCAAAGTATAATTATAGGACAGCTAATCATGGGCAATTATAGCACATGTAATTTTTGAATAATGGATTTAATAAGGTTATTAAGCTCATTAGTGTTTAGTACTTACATGTCTTTTTTAAAAAACACCATGAAATTAGGTTAGCAAATCTTAGCGGCAAATCCCTTCTCCCCCATTCTCTATGTTAATGCCCCAAGTGTCTGGGTTCGCAGTCGCACGCTGCCTTTCAAAGCTGTTCTCTCATATAATGCCTACTGGATCAGAGAGAATAGGTAACCTCCAACTGTCAGATTCTAGGACACCTTTCATCAAAGATGTTGTTTAAATGTCCTTGAATGGCATTGCCGTGCCACTGGTGACAATGTCTTTGTCCATTTCCTTCCAAGCGTTAGCTATGTTTCTGGCCCCAGATAGAAAATTTAATCCAGAGGTAGAGGGAGCCAATTGTACTCTAGACAATTCCATCTAATTCACACCCACTTATGTGGACTCTGCTCTCACTCTAGGCTCTCCAGCTGGATATGGTAACTTGGTAATTGCTTTTGGTTGTTTTGGCTTTTATAACTTCTTATGGGTAACATCAGCTTCTTTCTCCTTCCCTCCTTCCTTCCCTCCTTCCTTTCTTCTTTCCTTCCTTTCTTCCTTCCTTCCTTGATCTACGAGTGTTGCCCTATTTTTCCTCCCAGCCCCCTCTGCTCCCCACATTTAAGGAACCTCTTTATCGTTTAGCCTTGGCTTGTAGAACTCCACTGACTGGACCGACTCCTGGCCCCACTTTCAGAAGGAGGTGGTTTGGGCAGCCACAAACACGGTTATTTTTGCTAAGGATCTGGAGTCACCTGTCTCCCTCTCTGGAGTTTGTTTGGAGGAAACAGTGCACATGTAAGACGTTAACGGAGTACCACTGTAATGAATAGCTGGTCAAGCACCCAATATCCCACAAGGCAGGGCTTACCAGGCATGAGCTTGGCTCTCAGAGCACAGTAACCTGGCCCTAAGGATACATGGCTCCTAGCACTTTTCTAGCTCCGACCCATAAAACGGGCATGTATGGTCTCAGGTGCAGCCAGCTAATGGTGGGGAAAAGCATATTTGCTGGGAAAAGAGAGACCTCTCTGGGCAGGAGTTTCCTCCAATGCTTCTAAAGCAAGCAGCACCCTGAGGTAGGATGCGGACTTGAACATCATGTGGTCCTACAAGTGCTAAGCTTGCACATTGAAGAGAATGTCAACTCAACTGCATCATGTCCACAAAGCCCAGGGATGCTCAATGTCCCACCTAAGGCCACACAGACTGGACCCCTGTACCTGTACATGCAGTTTATCTCCTTCCGCCACATGGACTCCGGAGATGGTAGATATGGCTTTTAAAGGAGAAGCCCTCTCTTTCTGAAGTTTGGGTATTCTTTCCCATTCTTCTGGGCCATGGCTTCTTTAACTTAAATAGGATTTTCCTGTGAGTTAATTGCTTTTGGAGGCGATCTAAACACAAAGCACTGTTTTCAATCTTAAAAATATATTTTTGGCTTCTCATCATTTCCTTCCTAATGTCAGGTTTCTTGCCCCCAGGCTAACCACTGCATATAGGGTTTTTTCTTTTTATCTTAGAACAACTCAATTGCTTTCTGAATCACATTGGGAGAAAAACAAAGCAAAACACATGATTTTAAGGGTTATTGCTTTTTGAATTCTCTGAAACCAGACAGTCAAGAGAACAGACTCTGTCAAAGTGTCGAAGGATGTAAAGATCCATAGAGTAGTGTTTTGGCACATTTATCTGGTATTTTTGTTACTTATATTTTATCTCCTCTGTCCTACTTGAATGAGATTTTACAATAGAGATGAGACAAGCCTTATTAAACTTTAAGGCATTTATACCATCTGCGCCCGATTAGGTAGCAAGTACTTAACTATTTTTAAAATAAATGAGTAAAGATATAGTCAAATAAATTATTCACAAGATGCAATGAATGGCTGTTCCCAGGCCCCGAGTCAACACCCAATCGCACACAGCAAAGTGGTCCGTGCCACTCAGACTGTCCATGCATGGTCTCTGCCTTCATATCTAGAGCATTAATGCCAGCATGAATCCAGGACCTTGAGACCTGCCTATTAACTTTATGAATATTAATTTCTGCATGGAAATTATCAAGTAAACTTCTTGGTCCCTTAACTCAGAAAACTTTAGCCAGGTGTTGAATATTCTCCATCAGAGGTCAACTCTACAGCCCCCTCACTGGGAATACTCTCTTCTGGCCTGCACTGATAAATAGAATTCATATTGCATCCCACTGGGTGGTGGACTATGTCAGGGGTGGGTTTGTTGTGTGTCATTTGTGTTCTAGAAGTCATTCCTAATAATTCACATCTTAGAAAAAGCCCTATTTTTACAAAGATACACTGGAACCTTTGAAGGTTTGTAAACGTACATACCCACTAGGGACGTTCAGAAATCCAGTAGCACCAGAAAGTTGGGGCCAGTCAAGCTCATCGGTAAGTGCTGTTGGTAAATTGAAGAAGGATTTCTAAAGAAAAAATAAAGAGGTGATCATCAAAATGGTCATTTGTTTTCTACAAGTAGTAAGGTTATGCACTGCCTAGGCATTGCTCTCTGTCTCTTAATCTCTCTCCTTAAGGAACTTTGGCATTTAAGGCCTCTTAACTTTAACCATCATCAGGACATTCACAAAGATGTGCCTCCCTCCTGAACTCGCTCCCCTCGGCGGCTGTGAAAGGTGCAGAGGGCATGGCAGCACAGGCTCATCCTCACCTGAAAGGGATGTTTCAGCAGATGGGTAAACTTCCCACTCTTTTAAACTTGCCGAGATATTCTCTATATTTGAGTTTAGATATTCAGGAAATTGATTGCCTGGAAAGTACTAAGACCCAAGCCCACAGCAAAAATGCCTCCTTGAGTTCAAAGCTATGCCCTCGGTCAAGAAGAGGGTGCCTCCTGCTCTCCTTGGGGGTGTCTGACACCTCTGAGAATCTAATTATGGCTCCTTTCCCATGTGTGCTCAACGTGCTCCATGAGTTCAAGGACTCCTGACACAGTACTGACAGAATTAGGACTCACTGACCACAGCTCCATGGCTTGTGCAAACTCGGAGAGGAGAATGCTCCTGGATGTGTCCCCTTCGTGTTTCTGTAACACATGTCCTTGAGAATGAACACTCTCTGCTCTAATTTCTAGAGAAAGCTCATCTAGACTGATGTTGTCAGAACAGGGTTGCCAGATGTAGCACATAAATGTCCTGTTAAATTTGGGTTTCAAGAAACACAACGTGGTGTATACACACAATGCAATACTATTCAGCCTTAAAAAAGAAAGTGACAACATGGACGAAGCTCAAGGACATTTTGCTTAATGAGATAAGCCAGTTTCACAGAAAGATAGATATGATGTCACTCGTGTGAGGTTTTTAGAGTTGTCAAACTCACAGAAACAGGAAGTAGAAAGATGAGTGCCAGAGGGGAAATGGGAGTTTTGTCAGGAAAGGGTTAGTTTTGTAAGATGAAAGAGTTCTAGAGTTTGGTCCCATGGCAATGTAAATATACAATGTATATTTAAAATTTGTTAAAAATAGTTTGATGTTATGTGTTTGTTAGCACAATTAAAAGTGAATTTTTTATGCAAAAATTTTAATTTCAGGTACACAAGGAATAATTTTTAGTGTAAGTATATCCCATGAAGTGTTTGGGATATACTTATATTTCAGAAATTCAAATTGAACTGCGTGTCCTATATTTTACCTGGGAATCCTAGTTTGGATAAACACCCTGTAAGCCAGTGTTCCCTTTTTGCCTTGGCCGACAGGAAACTTCAATGTCTGGCTACAGGAAGCAGTTTATCTTAATGTCATTGCCTCCATGTGCCCTTTGGGAACTTCCCTTATAGCAATTTACATTGAATTTTTATAATAAATGTACTACTTTGTAATCAGAAAAACACACAATAAAGATACAATTTTAATCATATATTTTATAAAGTGATCCCCCCTCCCTCTCGATATTCACCTATAACTGAAAAATAAAATTTAAAAAACATATACTTTCAAATATTTAATGAGTCACAAGTGTGGCTTTTCCTTTCCTAACAGTCTGAGATTCCATTTCTCTTTGGGAGCCGGGCGAGGGCCCTCCTGGAAGAGGAAGTGAGCAGGAGGCTGGGCCACATGCCATTTGAAAAACTGCATTCAGTGATATGACTGCTTTGAGATATTAGCTTTATTTTTAATTTTAAAGGAACCTTAAAGAAGGACTCTATAAGTTCCTCTAAAGGGACATGGGTTGTCCATACTGAAGATGTTGCTGCTCCAGGGCCTGGCACACCTCAGCAGGAGGCACCCACCTCATTCTGCTCAAAATTCCCCCAAATGCTGCAACTCAGCTACTCTCTGTTTTGGTTTTCATTTCTCCTGTCACTACAATCAAATGTTTTCTGTGTGTGTGTGTGTGTGTGTGTGTGTGTGTTACCTTATTGTTTCCCTGTAGGTCTGTCTGTTTATGTGTTTGCTGTGGGATCTAAGAATATTCAATTCTGCTACAGAGTTGGGAAAAGCAAACAGAATGGATGAAACACATAAGATGTGTGAAGTGAGATAGTGAATAAACAGGTAGGTGGCTTGCGAGAGATGTGGGCAGAACTTAGGAGCTGTGTTAAGTAAGAATTTCAAACGTAAAAGCTGTGAAAAGTTGAAAGAACAATGCGATGTGCCCCCACACCACTCTCCCACCTCCTTCTCAGTCATGTGCACAGGGACAACCCCATGTTGGGAACAGGAAGTTGCTGGGTAAGAGCTCTGCTGGAGCAGAGGTGTGTCTGACCTCCTCTGAGCCTGGAATAACAATGGAGGCGGAGACAATGGTAATTCTGGAATGAGCCCACAAAGACTTTCCTCTAGGAATGGGGGATCTGACTTTTATATCTGGCTCTAAAAGTGCAGTAAAGCTCCATGGTTTGAACCTGACATATCAGAAGACGGGACCATTCTCCATGCAGCCCCATTCTCAGTCAGGGGTGGGTTTCTCAGATATGATTCTCAGCTCCACAGTGGGGAAGAGATGTTGAGGGAGGAGTAGGACAGGGGAGGCAATGGTCAGACACCTGTCTTGGAAGTGGAGTGTCCATATTCCTAGTATTCTCCCAGCTGGGAGAGTTCTGGACTCCTCCCTGCTTGTCATGATGCCCAACCAGCCCTGGAATCCTCCCCATCAGGATTGCCGCATAAATGGACAGCGCCTGGTGCTGAATCACAGCTGGGAAGAAGGAGGATTTGCACCCGCAGCCAGAGCCCAGGAAGGTCCGTCAGTCAGCTGCATAGTTTTTTCCTGGTTATTTGACAAACCTTGAAATAATGCCAATCTGTGTTTTCCCGGTGAAACATTTTAGGCTTCGCGTATGGTATCATGGCGAGGTGTTATGGTGAGGTTTTAATACTCCTCGCTGTGCAAAATCAGGCAAGATGTGGCTTTGCCAGTGTCTCAGGTTCAGCATTTCCTATGGCTCTGAATTATTCCCCATAGACCTCAACAGGGCTGTTGGGAGGATGGGAGGCCAGTGAAAGAGGCAGGTGGGCAAGTAGAAGCCCTGCACTAGTTCAGGATGGATCACCAAGTGTCCCTTTCCAAAGGGACCATCCCGGTGTAAGAGGAGGGGATTTTATGACCAGCCAATGGAAAAGATTGGAGCTGACCAGTGGAAGCCTCCACGTATTTTCCTTCCTCAGTGAGTTTGGTAGATAAAAATGAGAACTAACAGCCCCAAATAGCGAAGGTTTTATAGACTCTGGCAAAAAGAGTGTTTAAGTCATATCACATTAAACACTAAATGCCTTATTCATGCAACATTATACCCAAGATCGTTCAGGCATTTAAGGCAGGAAGTATGCAAATTAAGATCTCCCTCATCAACTCCCGATTATGCCTCCTGAGCATGTATGTTCTTAGGAAACTCATCTTAAATGTATCTTAAATGTACATACGTGGGAAGACTTGTTATCTATCAGGAAAAGTGTTCCAAGTCTGTAAAGAGCATCAGAAACTTGATGATTATTAAGTCAAAATGAAGTCAATTTTGCTTCAAAATTCCTTCTGATTTTGTCAATTACATAAAATTGTTTTCATGTCCTAATGGCCATGTGTATACTGTTTTGGTGCAATATTCTTATAAACTAGTACTCTGTGTATGTATTTTTATGCACTAAGAAAGTCCACTGGTTCTAATTTTTAATGAATATTTGGTAAAAAAAAAAAAAGTATTTGGATTTGGGAATGTTTTAAGCCTTAGTTTCAACAAGCAACTCATATTTGGGTTTCTCAAAGACATCTTAAGTGAGAGAAAGAATAATAGCATCTATTGCACATTCGTCTGGTTCTGCCAATTTCCTGACGACAGGATATATTTTTGGTGCCTTTATTTCACTGTTTACTTTCGAGCCCTCCTGACCAAGCAGTGCTGTGGACAATTGGCCCAGAGTATTCCCTTCTCTAATACTCTTAACTGAGTTAGACCTAAATGGATTATTTTCAAAGATACAGAGTCACTTGGAGGAACCTGCAGCAACTGCTGATAGAAAAAGATATGAAAAATGTCATCATTACCATCATTATTATGCTAAGTGAAATAAGCCAGGGAGAGAAAGACAAATACCATATGATTCCACTTATGTGTGGAATCTAATGAACAAAATAAACTAAAACACAGATGAGAAACAGACTCATTGGTACAGAAAACAGATTGACAGCTGTCAGAGGGGAGGGTGTGGGGGGCCTGGGTAAAAAAAAAAAAAAAAAAAGGCGAAGGGCTTAAGCAAAAACAAAGAGAAAAAAGAAATGATCTAATGTGAGTCCTGTAAGGTTAGTAAGAGGGAGCCAGGCAAAGAGTTTAATTAAGCATTGGAAACGCCAAATATCCCAAGGCTAAATTCATAATATTATGCATAGGGAACACCAACAATCTCCCCCTCCAAATGAACTCCCCAAATGCCACGTACTAGTATACCAGTTACCTATAGCTATGTAATAAATTTACTCCAAGGTTAGCAACAAAACTGTAAGAGAGCCCACTGCATGAGAGAACATATTTACCAATGTTATTTCTGAGAAAGGTTTCATCTCCAAAATTTATAGGGAACTCATTAAACTTAACAAAAGGAAGATAAACAATCCAATAAAAAAAAAATGGGCAAAGGACCAATATAGACACTTTTTGAAAGAGGACATACAGAAGGCCATGAGACATATGAAAAACATGCTTAAAGTCACTAGTCATCCGAAAGATGCAAATCAAAATGACAATGAGGTGCCATCTCACACCTGTCAAAATGGCTATCATCAACAAATCAGCAAACAACAAGTGCTGGCGAGGATGCGGAGAAAAAGGAACCCTCGTGCACTGCTGGTGGGAATGCAGACTGGTGCAGCCACTGTGGAGAACAGTATGGAGTTTCCTCAAAAAACTGAAAATGGAACTCCCATTTGACCAAGTAATCCCACTTCTAGGAATATATCCCAAGAAAGCAGA